ACAAACAATAAGATGCTATTCGGCCAGCGTCAACAAAATCGACTGATGATGTGAGCACCTGTATCGATCAATCACGTGTAGTTTCACTAGTGATTGATCGACTTTACTGATTTGTTCGATCGATTTTAACTCAGCAGATCGGACATTGGGCCTTGTTAGTTGTTTGTTCTGTGCCATGATGCACTAAAATTTCGTCATAAAAATGAAGAGTCGGGATTTGAAAAAAAACGTCTTTGCAAGCTTACAGCAGGATGGAGGATCTCTAAATGTGACTGGAAACTTAAGTGACATAGTGGTACATTTTTCAAACGTGCTGATTGTTGTACAGGGGAAATGAACGGCCTCTATTCTCACGGATTGACGTAGAGGGAATTTAAATAAAATTAGATTTTGTTTCATTTTACTTTAAATAAAAGTATCAAAACCCTTGGAAAATAGTCGGTTTGTGGGACTAGGACAAGGCTTTGTTGCTTTTTCCCAGATGAGTTGATTTGAAGGCAGGACAAACGGAATCTTAGGTTGCCAAAAGGACCAAAAAAAGAGAAAAAACATCGAGCAGTGCGTAATAACTTCGTACTCGGCAATTCACCCAGCTGATGGGCTTAAAAGCAAATAAATAAATCGTTCAGATATAACACCTTTTTGGTGCCTAGCTGCCATGCTACCCGAAGGAACCACGAGGGCTGGGATACTGCCAGGTTGCCCAAGCCTAGACGGGGTAAGTCGAGATGCAGAGATCGGGTTCGAACCACGGAACTTTGGGTTGGGTCAGTAGCGCTCTAACCACTTGAGACATCTCGTTCTTTGGTGGGTTTAGCTCCAAGCGTACTAGCTTTCAGGATATTTACCATAAGCAAAGTGGTTCACATTGTAGACTTCCTTTCTACGACCTGGGTTCGATTCTCTGCATAAGTGCATCCAAACTGGCCGCTTGGCCCCACCTAGGAAACTATGTGAACATGCTGTCTAACTAATAAAGAACGTAGGAAGATACGTTTTGAGGTTGTCAGACCCAGAAAGGAAGGACCGGTGGATCATGTTTCAAACGAAAAAGCCAGATGTTGGTCACAATACACGGGGAGGATGGATTTAGTACGACTATCTCTATCGAAGTGCCCTCCAGATTGAGAAGGCGTGGGGTAGGATCACTTAAGAATAGTACTGAGTGCCAAGAGTAAGAAATCAGGTTGAAACGGCTACCCATTGCCTTTCACCTTCATTATTCTGTCAAACAGCTGGAGAGCAAAGCATCAAATTGTGAACTGAAACACGTTAGCCCACGGGTAACTTATTGGCACCTTGGACAAAAAGACTTAAAACTGAACCGGAAGTCCACTAAGATCTGACACACTAAATGCCGGGTCGTATTCCTCACGCAGAGCGGTCGTCAATCACTGAAGTAATTCAACGGTAACGACAGAATCCAAACTAACCGACGTCCGAATAGGGGTGAATTTCAACCTCGCTAATGGAAGTAAAAGCACAAAAATGTACGAAAACTCACCTTAATTAACTGGTCCCCGACCCGCAAATTGCCGCACTTGCTTGCGGCACCGCCCTCAGTTATTTTGCTGATGGTAATTTGCTAAAAAGCGGAATGGATAGGAAAGTTACTAAGCAAGGACGAAAGTGAGAATTTTTTCAAAATGAAGTTACGCTAAATTAGAGGGATGAACGAGGAGGTTTGAACCGAAAGGGCTCATATGCCGTTGATGTTTTACAATCCCGAGAAAATCTTCGAGTTTTTGACGGTTAAATCGCAGCGTGCTTGCTGGAATGCCAAAATACTCGCATTTTTAAAGAGGACAATCGAATGACTGAATTGGATAGGGGAAAAAGCACAGCCCAGTGCTTTACGCAGTTGATGTGGATCAACAAAAAACTTCGAACCATGACTTTCTGAGGTCTGTTCAGGCGAGAATTTCTGCGCCGGAATTTCTTCAAAGCTATGAATTAGAGCCTACTGAGTTTACGGGTCAAATAGTTACGGAAAGAAACAACTTTGTGTCAGCCAAGTAGTGAATAATGTTCAAAATTCAGAGTCCGTGCAGTTTCCATCGTCAGTGTTTTCAGTTTGTTAAGTAATTCAGCCTCCATTGTAGTTGTCTTCAATGACGCCTAAGGTCCCGTCACTGCGTCGAATCAAGACTTCTTTGCTTGCGAAATATGGTTCGTGTCAGGTGTGGCCACCGTGTTTGTTCACTCCACAACTCAATTAAAGTCATCGACCAGGTAGAACATGTCTATTATTTTAGGCCACCAGTCGGAAGTACACTGAGCATTCCACTATGATTGATCGTTACTTACTTGCCACCTTCAAGGGGGAAATATTCAATGCGTCAATCACTTGACCCCTATTTTAATGTGTGCACCTACCTGTCTCTGTTAATCTTTGCGGTCACACCCTCGATTTAGTTTGAGAAAGACTACTGTTCGTTTCCCACGGTGGCTCAATTCATAAACCCAGCTACCATCTTTCGACCCATAGTCAGGTAGGTTTCATCATGACAATGTCCAGCTGCCATCACTTCAGCTCCACCAGATTGAACGTGTGTACCGTTTTCGGCCACCAACCGGGCATACACTAAGTGTTCTGACTGTGACTGATAGTTGCTAAAATACCATTTCCAAAGAAGGGAAGTTGAAGAGGACCCTCAGTGGCGAACCGAGCAGAATTTCCCGTGCCAATCACCTGGTACCTCGGTCTCATATACGATAATCAACTGGATATCAAGATTAGCTGACTGACGTGGAAATAAATCATTCGAGATGGTTTAACTATTCCATGTTTTCTTTCCATAAGTTAAAAATATCACCACCCCCCATGAGCGGCACTAAATTCAACAATTGTTCTCCAAGGTTTATTTTGAATTTTTCGGTTACACCATTAGGTAATCATATTGCATATCGGATACGCTGCCTAACACCTTGGACAATACAGCCAGTCGCCCAACCCCACATTTCAATGTGCGATTAGCTCTCAGGGTACTCTTCTATCCTATTGGTACATTCTTTCGACTACTCTGAGTGACAAAATAAACCTAGCTTTTTTGTTCACACACACACACACACACACACATACCCTCGGTTGATGTGCAGTAAGGTTTCACCATCTGATAATTCCATTATAACACCCTCGCCTCAGCTAGAGGTGTGAACTGGTAGGAGCTTTGCCAGTACATCACGGCAGCATGAACTGGTTTGACGTCCACCAAAATGCCAGATTAAGTAGCTGAAACGTACTATCGGTTGGTGAGTGTGAGAGTGCCAGTCTGCACCGAAAAAAAACAGTGATTTCAAAGGAAGGAATACTAATCATAAGGTTGCTAAAAACTGTTTGAAAGTTTACAAGTGAATTTGCGTCATTGGGTAGAAGAAGTCCTCAAGTTTCCGTCAACTTCATATTCTATTTGTTTCATTTTTTGACTCCAAAGCTGACCCCGACACATTCTGTTCATCACACGAAAAAAATGTATGTCAATGAGCTCTGATAGACTGTAAATTCCTGAAGGTCAGTTCCAGGCGTGCGAGGAAAGCTACTCCCACTAGTCGGCTCGTGTAACTGAGCACTGACGAAACGTTTGTAAGCTAACTGCTGACCTCGGCGAAAAGGTCGGCGGCCTTCTGATTAAACACTGACTACTTTTATGTTCTGTACGTTACACAGCTCCAACAACTGCCGCACAGATCAGCTGAATTATTGAGTAGTCCATTACTGGCTATCACCTGACTTCCGACTAGGTTTGATGAAATCCCATGAATACCTTGTCGTGTGGGCATTACCGGCTGCTGCAATGCAGGAGCACTTTATTTTTCAAGTTACCAAAGAATATATAACAGTATAGCGCCGAAGTCCAGGGGTGTCGATGTGGTCAGCGCGCATGATAACGCAGAAGCAGACTGTCTCGCAGTCGGAAATATTGCCACTAGCAAACGAAATGGATAGAAACCAGGGTAGATTGTTCCGGGAGGTATCACCCAATACACTAAGCCGTCGAAGGGGAGCAATCTGTGGACAGTTCATGTGGAACGGCTGAAATTTACACACACCTACAAGAGCACCAAAAAAGAGCGGCTACGAGCAGCCTAGTAAAAAATATCACACAACAGAGCAAGCTGTATCACCAAAAAATGTTGAAATCCAGAAAGGTCGAGCAGAGAGTTATCAGCAAACCATTTAAGAGGCAAGACATACGGGCCAGGGTTGGAGAGCTGTGTTGAGGTAGGGTGTGCGAGCTTTTTTAGTCTTATAAACAACCTGTAGAACAACAGTAAACAAGATGCGACGGACAACAATTTGTCCCATGTGAACGGATATTCATCAACTTTGGAATTGTTGACGGATGCCTCATAAAGAGTTTGTGGTAATCCACGGCCGAAGTTGTCCCCAGAGAGAGCGAACAATATGAATTCTCGAGATAGCTCAGTGGTTAAGGCGCCAGCTTACAAACCGGAAGGTCCGTGGTTCGAATCCAACCTCAGCATCTCGAATGATCCTGTCTAGGCTGGGGTAACCTGGCATTATCGCAACCCTCGTGCCTCCTTTCTTTAGCACGGCAGCTAGGCACCAAAAGGACACTACAGCTAAACGATTGCGCATAGTTGTGATGAAGCTCATCCAACAAGTTAGGTGAACCAAAACAAATGAATATGGTAAAAGTAGGGCAGGCAGTTACATGATCACCAATCACAATTCGCCGATCAACTAGACATAACCCAAACCTTGAAAAGAGCAAGTAAACAAGGACAACAAGAGTAAAACGAAGCACAGAACAATCACCAGAAATTGACCGGAAGAACGAATGTATCAACGAACAACTGCCAAGCACAACTCACGTGTACCTTAAGAAATGCAAAACGCTGCACAAAGCGATAAAAAAGCAAGAGTGCGGAGAAGGAAGAGGGTAACCATAAAACTATGATTAAAGGGGGTTATTGTTGGCATGGTGACATGTAGATATCATGGTGAACTATTGTTATGGTTATGCGCTGACTGGGGCTACAGCTGTTGTTCTACTAGGGGACTTACCCCATGGTCTAATGAAGTGGGTAGCGTTCCACGACCTCCCGCAATGCTAAATCCCAGGCCACTTGGTTCGCGATGAATAGTGCATTTGATGTGTTGGAACTAGAAAAGTACGGAGCAAGCGACAATATAAAAAAATGCAAATGCGGGATTCAGACTGAAACGGTTGAAGCTGGATGCCAACGATTGGAGCGGTGATACACCCAGTGCAATAAGGAACTGAAATTGTGAGTAATCTGAAAAATAATAAAGGGTCACGAAAACCACAGACTGATCACTGAAGTTATGCACACGAAGATACGCATGTGACCTGGGTACTGTGTGTCACGTGGTCAATGACGAGGCTAAGTAACCTCCTACCAGTTCGTTCATACTACCTATGCTAGTGTTGTTTTATATATTGACGAACGAATCGCACAAGCATCTCCATTGATCACTATGTCTGGCTACGTGGCAACAGGCCAAACTCAGTCAATCGAATGTGCAAATCAGGCGATAAGCATAAACCGTGATCGGATACGACTTTCGCAGCAGTAAGATGATTGATTAGCGTAACATAAATGAGAATCGAAGATTCACACAGGATTTTTTTTATCTTGCGAGCAACGCGAACCAAGTTAGGCTAAGATCACGAAAAAACAGACGGAGGGGGGAATTAATTATCGTAGTGCTGCAGTCTAAGGTAGACAGAATACCTTTCGGCGAAAACAAGTTACGGATTGGCAAATATCAACATAAGGGAGGTGGCCGCTTCCACTTGTTCCAAAGAATAATCCCAGTGATGTGTGTCAGTCAGCAACGATAACAAAATACGGATTCGAACCAGAGTCTCCGGTGGGATCACTTCTACTGGCCAAAATGAGTTGTTATCTAGAATGAGCTCTTAGTAACAACGTTTCGGTCACGTTGTGGATAAGTAAGGCTCCTGATCACCCATCTCTTTCCGTGAGTATCTGGTCCAGAGACAGCAGCGAGGCGTTATCCCTCATGGTCACAATGACATGCGCCTAGGCATAACAGCCACGGCAAAGGAGTGATGAGAGTAATAGTGCATAAGTGTTACGTGATCATTAGAATATCCCGGTTAGAAAGGAAAAGGGGTGGGAATAATGAGAACTATTGGACAACATACAGTTAAGCCAGAGATGTGCGGACCAAACATCGTACCGCTTTCGATAAAATGAGGCTATGAACTATATTTGGTCAGGTTTATTGTTGTTTGAGAGAGTGGAGCACGTTAATTGGCAATCGAAAAGGCGACAAGTAAACCGTTGCAAACTGAATGTGCTGGTCTGGTAAAACGTTGGCGAATTAGGGCTGATAATTAAAAAAAACTACAATACTCTGACACATTCAGTGTGATACCAGTGGGGTAGGGCATATCGAGTACAACTAGTTGAGTTGATAGGAGTTTCAACAGCAAATGAACGACATGAGTCTTTCTATGTGCTGTACAAAGGAATACGACGTGAAGTCAAGGCTGCGTCCCTAAGAAACTGTATGGAGTAGAGCCGCTCAACCCAATGTACGAGGTCACCATCGTGCAACGTGCATCTTCCAACCGCAGAGTTGACGGATTTGTAGTGCGTTTAATGGTCGTATATCGTCCGGAGACCTGACCATTGTTAGAAAGTGTCAAAAAAATCGGTGGTTGTTACCACCAAAGCATTTCTCAAAAACTTTAATAACGTCTGGGGATTTTTCTAAGAGCGCGCACGCAAAAGATGAATCAATGAAAGTTCACACTCTGTGCTGGTCCTGTCAGGTGCTTCAAATTCCAGTAAAGTGTCTGACAGAGTCCTATTAAGTTAACTACCCACAGGCTGGGGGGGAAGCAATAATCTGTCATCCACACGAATAGTGATGCCACCACCAAAGGCCGACAGATGCGGTCTTTACTGAGAAGCATTTCACAATGGCGAGGAAAAATTCAGTGTCGAGTGAAGTTGTATTATGGTAGTTCACTCCAATCCACAAACACACACACACTCTCTCGGGAAGCAAAGGTGTGACAACTGGAACCAGTGCGCGAGTTGATTAAGGCAACAGTGGATAGGGAATTCACTGCCGATTAAGGGACAGAGTTAGCTAACCGTTTCCAGCGACCGCCCTGCACGGCAATTGTGATTCGAGATATTTGAAATGGCTCATCCTCAAGCAAGACAACCGAAGTAAAATGTGTTGGGACACACTTTGAGCCCCACTCGTAAAGGACTCGAATACCCGAAATATAAATTGAAGTAACAACGTATGGACGACAACGAAATCCAAGAATGTGTTGTTTGTAATTTGGATTGGATGAGTTCTCATCTTCCTACGGCACAAAATATGAGTACTTACGGCCGAGTCGGTGGGGGTAAGGCGATTTGTGCCCGACGGAAAGGAAAGTGTAGGCAAAACGTTCGCGGACAAAATACTGGAAGACGGAGGCACACCGTCGACAGGGTTTGTGGCCTCGCGGGAGATAACGATGCGGAATTCATCTGTGTTAGCTCGGAGAGCACCGACTGCCACATGGTGTTCCACATTGACCAGAGAAGTCCCGTTCACCTAAAATACAAAAAACAAGTGAGCTGGACCAAACAGGTCGGGATAACAGTTCTTGACAGCTGAAGGAGTGAAGGAGTACGAGTATCCCAAAACAGAAACCACAAAATTATCTTTGGCGATTTTCGCTGGGAGTGGCCCCCTTCTGTGAGGCCCCTTACAAAACCTTAAGTGAAGAGACACTTGTAGACGTTGCAGAAGAGTGGTTCCTCTTCGGAATCGGTGGTGGGGTATTGTGTTGAATTAGGGATGTCGTTTAATTATCATCTTCATAGTAGCCCAGTCCCTAAATGAGCGGTGCATCCGAAGTAAGGTGAAAAAGGGCGTTCCCATTCAGAGTAAGGTCCATGCGATATTCTCAGTAGGAGCAGGAGTCAACCAGAGGGAACTGTTCTAAGAAACACTATGGGTAGTGCGTTCTGTTAGAAGAGACAATTTTCTTACCACAAGATCGGACTCTAGTGCTAAGAAACCTGTGAAAATACAAGCCGAAAGGGGTGCAAGAACCACAAAGCTGACCTACATCGTTCCATTCATCAGTTCACGCGTTCTTCTATCTCCTTGAGGACCGGGAACCTAAAACAGGTGCGGCCGACTACACAGTGCATACCAGTATGTTGTGATCATCATACGCATGGTTCCATTGAACTTCAGTCATTCATTGTGTATAGAATTACGTGGATTATTCAGCCGATTGTATGAGCGGATTACAAACAAGCTCATTTGGAAAGAAGTTTGCTAGGTAACCTGAGGCCCAGTGTGCAATCATGATTCAAGGTTGAAGTATGAAGGCACAGTAGCTTAAAGTTATGTATTCCGTGCTTTTGTAATCTAGGAACTTAGGGTTGTCATCAAAAATGAGGAGACTGAGGGGGCTTCTCTGCCCCTAATGTGGGTTCCACAGACCTCACTTTGAAAGGATCCTCCTTGGAGGCTTCATATGATGGCCAAAATCACTAGCAGCGAGGATAACTACACCGAGATGACACTCGATTTCGTGGAAGACTAGCATTCACATCATGTCTAGTAGTAGTCGAGCGAACGACTGATAGATAGCAATAAAAGAGAGCTCATGAAATGTAATAAGAAATGAAAGATGTTACATTTACACACTGATTAATAAACGGATATAGTGCAACTACTGAAGGACCCGGAATCTCCTTGTTTAGAGGGGGCATATTTCAGAGAAGCGGGTGTCCTATCGGGTATGGAACCGTAAAGGTGGGTGATTCAAAAAATAGTGCAACAATGCACGAACGAACCTCAAGGATCTTGTCATTCAGCCGAAGACCGGATGAAAACGCCAATCCATCCGGATTGAGTCGACTGACGAAGATGCCCTGGTCGGTGCCCTGATAGGGAATAGACCCGACTCCACCGGCGATGCTGAGACCCAGGCCGGAACCGGGTTGACGTCGGATAACGACAACCATCTGCTGCTGTGGTCTGCGTGTGATATCTGCAACTGTCGCGCTTGGGAGGGCAGTTGACACGCGCTCACTACCATGGGCAGTTGAATCAGCGATTGAGGTGGAAATGGCGGCTGCCAACATTCTCAGGGTGCCGTCGGCCTGTTGTAATGAAAAAGACTTGTATGAGCTGCGTTTATTCAGAGAGAATCATAGCTACAGGACATGTGGAACCTAATGGCAATGCACGTCCGTGAACACAACTTAGTTTCTATCTTGAACAGCAAGGTTAACGTTTGTGCTCTGTTGGGTGGGGGTTACCGAACAGTCGACAAGTCTACCAAGTAGTCCGTATTTTGGTCTAGAACAAATAGGTTTTTACCTTTGCAGTTGGCCGGGAGATTCCACTTTGTCTTTGCTTTGACCACGAGGTGCGCCTTGCATCAATAAGTTTGGTGCACACAAAAACATTCTCTCTGAATTACTTTGCTAGTGCAGATTTTGCGGTATATCATTTAACCGCCTGATACAGGAGACTTTAAACCCACCCAGACATTTCCCAAACTGAGGCCCGAGGATTCTATCTCTATTATCCTAGTTTATTGTCTGCAGTCAACTTTGAATGAAAGTGACGCCAACATGGACATTTCGCAGCTATCTCTCCCCAACGCTCAAATTACGACTTATCTCAGTGGAGTGTAATTCATCTATGAGCAGTCACTCCAGTTGACGAAACTGATGTATGCTATCTCTGCACTGCGTAACAGGCCTATTCAAAAAGCGATTCAATTACAGTATAACCCTCACTGATTGGATCTGTTGAGAGCGGTTACCCCGGAAAGTAGACTGCTGTAAAGGGGCCGCTAAACCTTCGTTTGTTAACAGCAGAGCACCTAACCCTATTTCTTAATTTGATGAAGGAGCAGCGTAGCTTGGGACGTGTAAACCAACATGGTATCTAACTCTCTAAAATGGCGAAAATGATTAAGAACGGCCGTTTTAGGGAGGCGCATGACGGAGTGTTTCAAAGTACAGGTAATCTCAGAATCAGGGTGAGATCAGTAGATTGAAGTGCATGGTAGATACACCACGACATACCTCGTGGCCTACAATCTCTAAAGTTGTGAACAGGAGAAACGTGACGGCTAGCGAGGGTGATGTAATAAGGAGTTCAAAACTGAATAGACAAAACGATAACCAAAGGTTGTATTCCCGCATTCTCATGACATAACAACTATTTAACTAATTCAAAACGTTTTCTTCACAGCGTTACGTCAGTGGCATACGTCCTTCTTAGCCTAGGAAAACGGTGCGCTCGTTCTGCAAAATTGTGGCAATACCGATGTGTTTCACAGTGATTCCGGAAAACCGCAACACTATTTCTGTTGCCCCTCTTGTTGCCTTACAATCAGTTTACGTCATATCAATAGTAAGGCGGTCTTGATCATAAGTGGTATTACAGCGAAACATCGAACAGTGTCCACGATTTCTTGCGACAAGTGTTACTGAAGCTAGCCCATCCAGCGGGTGATACATAATTACCGTTCCAGTAACGTGGAAGATGGGCATCATTTCTCGGTCTCGCATTAGCATATGAGGGTCTGGAGACTGACGTCCGCCATGGAGCTAGTTTTATATTTTTATTAATTGATCCAGCAGACTGCCAATGTGGAAGCGTCACGTGATTCTCGTTGATTCACACAGACGCCAATAGTTGTGCAGGAAGCGACATTCATGGTCACATTTGTAATAGTGAGTCAAGGGTTGTGGTTTGTACCTGTATTTTCCTACGATTATCTCAAATAATTACGCTGGAAAATGAGCGCGCCCATTTACGCCACCTGCGTTCACTACCGCATCGACCAGTCACTCTCCAGATTCTAGCGTGTAGGGATGATTACCGGTTCACCGGTGAACTGGGGAGATTTGTGCATCTTTATCAGTGTCCAATTATAGCCGCCGACCGAAGCCAAAGCAGGGATGATGATGTGACAGGAGCCGAAAATTCCACAGCATACAAGCACGACTGCTATACAAACAGTTGCTCTCACACTAACGTGCGCAAGGAAACGTGTGACAAAGTAAGTCCACTTCAGCCAAGCGACCGCATCACAATGGCACTGTAGGAGGTCTGTGTGAAAATTTTAGTGCCAAGCTGATTGTCGGAAGTTTGCAAGCACAACGGCTGCTTGTATCACCGCCAACCAGCTTGACTAACGTTTTCCCAATTTCAAAAAATAAACAGATCTGTTAGACATGGAAACCGACTAACTGTTTTGCACATATTCTCTAGAATAGCAACTGTGCCAAAAAGGGAAGCGCGGCACAGGAGGGAAGGAAAGTCGTGTACTTTCAACCCGATCTCCACTAGTTGAATGTTTGACTTTTTGTAAACAAGCACGGTCCCGAACTGATCTCCACAAGAAAGATTTCCTCCTCATTTATGGCAGGTTGACTGTAACAAGGGAGACAATCAACATTTTGAATTCCTACTGAAACAGAGTGGTTATCTGGTCTTTGCTGATTGGTTCCTCCTGAAAAGCATGAAACTAGATCCTCCTAGACATCCATTTCTCGTGGTGGTCTTCCCTTACGCCTGTGTATCACTTTCAGACTACCTCGGAATTGGATACTGCGGTAATCATCCGAGCACATAACCACGAGGAATTAATTCAAACAAGTATCATTACATTATTTTCACTGGCTGAATCTGCGCTGAGGTAACACTGTAAAGGCTGGAGCAGATGTACCGTGACCAAGTTTCGATAATTAGATCATCTTCCCATCACGTTCTACCACTAAATGTGCCTCTGGACGGTCTGATCGCATTACGCTTTCATATTCCCCAAGGAAATGCCAATCACAACCATCTACTTACTATTGATCTGTGGTGATGACGGGAGAATAGTCGCCACGTCAGTGCAGTGCATTCAGTGGCGAACGAGCGAGTTGGTGGTAGACAGTTCGACAGGTGCGTTTTATGAACAAGTACGACTGGAAATAAGAAATTGGGGGGGCGAAGCATAACTAAAGCCCCGGTAAGTCTGACCAATCTGCTTGCATGACTAATATGGAACAACAGTTTACCGTCTTCAGTATCAAGCCGAATGAACCATGAGGTGGCGTCTGCACTGCAACTTAAGTCGAGGAAGATCGTAAAAATGGTTGTATTCGACGTGTTAGAAATGCTAGTCAACACAAAGGAGCACACAAAAATATACAAGTGAACACTTAAGACTCAGTGTCTGGTATGAGGCGCTTGTCACACACGAGATCGAAATAAGCGAAGTATGAAATGTGGTTGATCGTAACAACCAATCACTTTCTTCTCACTATCGGTCTGTCATCGAAGCCTACACGATGTTAACCGACGCCAAACAACTTCTTCGTGCCACTGGGTGATTTGCTAGCACATGTTTCATCAAATACATCAGCATATACAGATGCTATCGAACGCATATGGCTGAATCAAACTGACTAGTCATTTGATACGGTGATTACTACTCGGGTTGTCATACGAAGTCCACAGCAGTTCGGTGGGAGCAAGTTGTTGCAGAGAGAATAGAACACATGCAAAGTTGCTGCCAGTTGTCAGGTAAACAGTGGAAACTGTCTACGAGGAAAGCAAGCTAGAAATTTATCAGCCTCATGTGAGAACCATGGTAGGGGCGATACATTGCTCTCCAAGGGGAATACACTCTGTTTGAGGAGACGATTGTCCTGACACGGAACTAGCTTCCACTACTGCGCCCCTTCATGAAGGAGATAGCCACTTAAAACCACACATCAAAAACCTTCTAGCTCGAGAAATGGGTGATTTCACCCTCTTTCGCCCCACCCAAATAAAGAACTACCTTTTAGAGTTGATCAGGATTTATGAATTGACTATCTTAAGGAGACTATCCATGACACTATTACTTGCGTTAGACTATTCTGAGACAGCGCCCTTCTGAGTGAGTTGCTTTCCTCTGATAGATGATAGCTAACCATGGTAGCAGGTCAGGAGGACAGTACCTTATGGGAAAGCGTGGGAATACAGGATGGGTGGGAGTAACCGGATTCTGGGGGGAAAATCGGTTCGCGAGTAGATTCCTTGAATCCATGGGCACTTACTCTGTCGACGAAAGTATCCGACGCTCCTGGATGTTGTGAAGTGGATCCCTGATATTTTGCTAGAATTTTTAGTACGGCCTCTTCGCTATCCACTGCAAACGAAAAAAATCGGAGTGATACGCAACAAATCAGGTGTTTGACGGGAATAAGTTTGACGAAGAAAGAAACATGGCCAGATACCATCATTGAAAGGCGCCAAGAGGTGGAACTGCTTTAAATCCATCGATCCCCAAGGATTTACTTCAGAGAACACCCTAGACTACCCCCGTGGGATGGAATACCCTCAACCTAGCAACAATCTCTTTCGTATAACCACGTGGTTGCGCACAGCATTTGCAATCAACTCGCTCCTCCGAAGTACAACAAACTCTCTGGTGCAGTCGAATTCGTTTCGCTCATTCACCGTGATGATAAAAAGGAAATGCTGTATATTTTTATATGAGAAATTTGCGTTTAGACAGTATGTACCACCAAGTACATGTATCACCTGGACAATCGTTCAGCCTACACACCATGAATAACGACCTGATCAGAAACCCATGGCCGCCTGTTCCGACATTCCACACATAGTTTTGGCATTACTGAAAGGCTTGTCACCAGTAAGTGGGAACCTAATGACTGGACAGCTACGTGATTCATGGGACTATCGACAGGGGCTTCATGAGCAAAAAATACTTGCTTGACAACAACGTAGCAGAATGCTTAGGTTACTAGTGTTGTGACGAACACTTGGAATAATGAAACCAGGTGTCTTCATGTCACTGCATTGACTCAGGACGATTGTGCGACACTGCACTAACCACTTTCGATAAACAAAGTGCGAAAGAAGTCCTGTGAGATGGAAGCAAACGAACTTCCGGGGATCAACAGGTGTCGGAATGGCACTTCTCTATCCGGCACGCAGAAATGATAGTTTTTTTCGATCTCCGACATGTTTCAGACCCCGTGGTGGTGATCGCCGAAGAGAGGTGTCAGTTCTAGATTTTTACCCCTTATAAAGGCTTTCTCTTGTGGACGCGTGTGTGTCTATGGCTACTTTTCTCCTGAGCTCAACACATCCACTGGCGTCAGGGAAGAATGTCCTCTATCGCCCTTTTTCAATTCGTAACTGATACGCTTCTTGAATCTTCTTTACCTGACTCTAACGTCGGGATCGAAAAGCTGCTGGGGCGTTCGCTCGAGGATAATCGGTACGCTGAACTTGGACCTAGCCCCTTAGAAATCTAAACTATTTTAAAAAGCTAAAATAATTCTACTGGACAGCTCAGTATGCACTCTGGACCTACAAAGTGTAACATGTTGCTGCAAGATTGGGTGGGATTAACCCCAAGCCTCATGTTTGTAGTATAACATGGTTTAACGTGGTGAACAGGTTTATCAATTCGGTCAGCTGCACAAGTCGGGCGAGTGAAAGATGAAATTAATTCCCGAATGGGACAGGACCAAGCAACGCTTGCTAAGCTTCGACATTTATGGTGCCCACGTGACATGAGTTTGGCTGTTGAGTGTCGCGGTAAAATCCGCCCCTGTGAGTGGATCAGACGTGGTAGTTGTGTGTGGAAGACTTTAGGGAACTCTGCTTGAACATAGGTGACTCCGAAACATTGCGCGAGTCTGATGTTCCTATTAGATGAGTAATGCCGAGGTACGCCAGGTGGGCTTCTGGAAGTCCAACTTTCCCTCGGAAGATCAGCTGGTGACGGTCCACAGGTTACACTGGTCACGCCATGTACGCAGTATACCAGAGGACGTCGAGCTATCGTTATCCAGGCTTGCATCGGATGGTGACAAAAGAGGGGCAGTCATCCTTGACTTCTTGGCGGAGCATAAAAACGCTTACCAACGAACTCAGCCATCTCCCCGAATGGGGACCGCGGAGAAAGATAAAACTAGTGATTGGTGACCTTGACATATACCATCGTCAAACAGCCAATGGCCATCCTATCGCCTGCACTGTGTAGCACTCAATTCATGCCATACTAGACAAACATTCATTTGAAGTCAATACAGACTGGGCCGACGTCTCCAGCACGTGGTTCTCAATCCCTTTTTCTCCTTATCTTTGGTGAACAAAGCTGTAACAGGAGGAACAAATGCACTTCGGTGCAGGGTTTATGAGCTGAAAGTATGAACTAATCTGATTAAAGTTTGGTAAATTTGCCCGTGGTAACAATTGAGGCACAACCTTATTCGAGGTAGAAGCTGGTCTAATAAGCCGCTTCTTCAGCGATACACTTAGGCACCAAAACAAATCAAGAAGACTTTTTCGCTGCATCAAATTTCCATGCTGTGCCTTATCCTGAGGGAAAATTCCAAATACAAGCATCCAAGAATCCATACTCTCGGTTTCATTCCGTGGACAAAAAAGCTGTTTGAAAAATTATGGAACTAGCGTGTCCGAATGAGGTTGAGATCCTAGTGCTCTGCAAGGAAGATACGGGACCACATACACATAGATTTTCATTCCGGGACAAAAAAGCTGTTTGAAAAATTATGGAACTAGCGTGTCCGAATGAGGTTGAGATCCTAGTGCTCTGCAAGGAAGATAACGGACCACATACACATAGATCTCTCGGCATTTTGCGAGTGAATTAATGAGCCATCTTTTTCACTTATCGTTTCGCTGACCGTCGCTTTCCTAGGGCCAGTCGATCGTATCAGTTGATAAAGGACACGGCTGTTTCCCGTAGCAAAAGCCTTCTCCATCTCCCGAGCTTTCGATGTCCACCAGAACTCTCGGTCTTTCCTTAGACTCTTCACTATTTGGCGTTTGAGGGATTTGCGTGCGCCGTCGTACTCGTTGCCTGCTGGTATGGCTTTCCTGGCATCAAT